CAAACTCCTGAAGACAAAAAAATTTATGACGTGTGTCTCTTATACTTCCGGGTGCTCCACTAATGATGTCACGGACTGTCATCAGCCAATGAAAAATTGGCATGTGTTCATATGTGTTTCAGACCCCGGTCACGCTGATGGCATTCCCCATTGCATCAATCCAAGACTCAGTGATGTGTTCCGCTTCGAATGGGAATTGGAATGGAGCACAGAAAGGGAAAAAATAAAGGGAAATTTAGAGAAGAGCAAGCAAGACTGACCAAAATGACAATGCAATTATTTCACCCACGCTACAACCTTTTTTTGCATAATGTCACTACTTACTGCCCCTGCAGTACCACTGGCCAAAACACTACAGGTGTAGTGACAAGCTTAGGACTACAGGCATTGTTATTACACTGTCAAAGATTTAAGAGTGAAATTAGAGTATATTCCAGGTTAATAATAATTGCATTACTTTCATAGTAATTTCACAGTAGGACTTGTATCTAACTGCACTCTCAGAAATTTCTTGTAAAATCTACAGTACTTTATTACCCACATTTTTACAATTGTACTTCTAGGTTTTTTCTAGGTGTGTCCCAATTCACGTATTTATGCACTAATCTATGACATTTTGTTATATAAATAGTGTGAATAGTGTGTTCACATTGAAAATAGAAAAAGTTAACTTTAAATACTCAGATGATGCACTTAAAAAAACTAAGTGTGGAATGTTGAACACTTCATGCACTTAAATGTTGCACCTTTAATTACGTAGCAGAGAGGGAGGTGCTATCAGACTTCGATGTTGATTGACAAAATAACCTTATAAAATTAATTCACTACACGGTTGAGTACATAGTGCTTAAGTACATAGTGTATAAGTGCATAGTGCATTATTTGGGATGGAACTTTTGATTCTTGTTTTTATCTGTGCTGCTGAACTTATTTTTGGTTGACTATTTTTAGCAGTTTCTTTTGGTTTGGTTTGTAATGTTCAGAGCTTATCTTTTACCTTTTTTTAACTCTTCTGACTTGGCTAGATGAGAACGTCTTGGTTACGTATGTAACCCTAGTTCCCTGAAGAGGGAATGAGACGCTGAGTCGAAACGGTGCGGGGTCGCCCCTGCGTGATTGCCTCATGAAGCATGTATGGAATCAGTCCAATGGCGAGATGGAACGTCATCGACCAGGAAACTATAAGCACCCCTGAATCACAACAGCGCTAGCTTCTGATAGGCTGAAGCAAGTTGATCATGGGCATGCCGGGAGTATAGCAGGGCGACGTAGCGTCTCGTTCCCTCTTCAGGTTACATAACTGAGACTTTCCCTTTCAAGGGAACTCAAGCTGCGGGAACGCTAATACCCACGTCGCCATAAGAGCAAAATGTCCGTCCGTGTGAAGTCAAAGCGCACATTCGGACGAACGCACCTGCGCCCCTGGAGTGGAGCTGAAGTCAAGATCATATAACCTAACGAATGTGTGCGGTGAGGACCAACCTGCCGCATCACAAACATCATGTAGGGAAACTCCTGACAATAAAGCTTGAGAAGCAGCCATACTCCTAGTCAAGTTAGCTCGTACAGCCAAAGGTGAAGGCTGACCATCCGACTCGTAAGCAAGTGAGATAGCCTCAACCACCCACTTGCTCATCCTCTGCTTAGATGCAGGACACCCCTTCCTGGGTGACCCAAAACAAACAAACAAACAGCTTTTCAGATTTCCTCCACAGGGCAGCTCTGTGGAAATAAGCATCTAGGGCCCTCACCGGGCAGAGCAGATTTAGTTCCTCTAGGTCTGACGTCAGAAAAGGAGGAGGACAGAGGAGTAGGGACCTTAGGAACATAGCGTGGCCTAGGATGGAGGAAGGCCTTTACCATGCCAGACGAGAATTCCAGGCACGAGGGAGAAACAGAGAGTGCTTGAATGTCTCCAATTCTTTTGAGAGACGAAATAGCAAGAAGAAAGATAGTTTTTAGAGTAATGAATTTCTCAGAAACTTCTTCAATGGGCTCGAACGAAGGTAGGGAGAGGCCTTCTAATACAACAGCCAAGTCCCATGTCAGCCTCAAAGTGCCACGAAGGAGACGTGTTATCAATGGGTGTCTCCCCAGAGAAACTCCACTCAAAGGGACGTGGTAAGCAGCTAGTGCCGCCACCTACACCTTCAGTGTGGAGGGGGATAACCCTGCGGAGAAGCGCTCCTGCAGGAACTCCAGCACTGCACACAACGGACAGTTAACCGGGTCCAACTGGTGTTCTCAACACCATGAAGTGAATAACCTTCACTTCAAGGCATATAACTTCCTCGTGGACGGAGCTCTGGAGTGGATGATGGTCTCAACAACCTCGGTTGAGAGACCTGAATTTATGAGCTGGGCCACCTTAGAGGCCAAGCCCACAGTTTCCACAGTATCTTTTAGTAAGTAAGTCTGGTATGCCTGCAGAATGGACATTGTATGCAGGCAGTTGCCTGACCTGCCGCCAAGTAAGCTTTACCCACCAAAGCCAATGTATTTCTTAGTGGATTGGGGGGTAATGCAGATGCAGACTCAGGGGAGAGATGGCTCGCAAGCGTCTCTTCAGCCCTGGGTATCGCCCGATAACCGTGTTGTTTGGACCCATGTATATTTGAATATGAAGATAGCTGGGGACTATATACACGGTACGAAACTGGTCTTTTCCACGACTTCGACACATCAGTGTGGAGGTCGGGAAAAAACCTAACGAATGTGTGCGGTGAGGACCAGCCTGCCGCATCACAAACATCATGTAGGGAAACTCCTGACAAAAAAGCTTGAGAAGCAGCCATACTCCTAGTCAAGTGAGCTCGTACAGCCAAAGGTGAAGGCTGACCATCCGACTTGTAATCAAGTGAGATAGCCTCAACCACCCACTTGCTCATCCTCTGCTTAGATGCAGGACACCCCTTCCTGGGTGACCCAAAACAAACAAACAGCTTTTCAGATTTCCTCCACAGGGCAGCTCTGTGGACATAAGCATCTAGGGCCATCACCGGGCAGAGCAGATTTAGTTCCTCTAGGTCTGACGTCAGAAAAGGAGGAGGACAGAAAGCCTGCAGTACTATTGGTCTAGCAATATTAGTAGGGACCTTAGGAACATTGCATGGCCTGGGATGGAGGAAGGCCTTTACCATGCCAGGCGAGAATTCCAGGCACGAGAGAGAAACAGAGAGTGCTTGAATGTCTCCAATTCTTTTGAGAGACGAAATAGCAAGAAGAAAGATAGTTTTTAGAGTAATGAATTTATCAGAAACTTCTTCAATGGGCTCGAACGGAGGTAGGGAGAGGCCTTCTAATACAACGGCCAAGTCCCATGTCGGCACCCTTGTGCGGAGTGCTGGCCTCAGCCTCAAAGTGCCACGAAGGAAACGTGTTATCAATGGGTGTCTCCCCAGAGAAACTCCACTCAAAGGGACGTGGTAAGCAGCTAGTGCCGCCACGTACACCTTCAGTGTGGAGGGGGATAACCCTGCAGAGAAGAGCTCCTGCAGGATCTCCAGCACTGCACCCACCGGGCAGTTAACCGGGTCCAACTGGTGTTCTCAACACCATGAAGTGAATAACCTTCACTTCAAGGCATATAACTTCCTCTTGGACGGAGCTCTGGAGTGGAGGATGGTCTCAACAACCTTGGTTGAGAGATCTGAATTTATGAGCTGGGCCACCTCAGAGGCCAAGCCCACAGTTTCCACAGTTCTGTATATATATGATAAAACTCCTGCCTAATTTCAACTAAGGACAGACAAAAACACTTTTTCAGACAATGATTCACACAGAGCTCTTGCTGTAGGTACAGAAGCTAGCGCTGTTGTGATTTAGGGGTGCTTTATAGTTTCCTGGTCGATGACGTCACCCGCCTATGACGTTCCATCTCGCCATTGGACTGATTCCATACGTGCTTCACGACGCAATCACGCAGGGGCGTTCTCGCAGCTTTTCGATGCAGCTCGAGTTCCCTTGTAAGAGAAAATTAAATATGAATAGGTTCAGTTTAATCCTGTTAAGTCCTGGCATTTCTTACAGTGTACAATAAAATGTGTAGCTTTGTATTAGCCACCACTATCATAAAAAAAAAGAAAATGATTAATTAAACAAAATGACAGAAAGAAGCTTCTTACACCTTTTCAGACCCTATATTAATTTACTACACGCAGTTTTCTGTACCCAAGAAAATTCTAAATTGTATTTTGTTTGCAACTATGGTTACCTTGTAAAAATGTAAAACGTAAAAACAAATGCAAAAATGTAAAAAGAAGATTTTATCTGGATTCCCACCAAAAATAGCTAGAGGTCACATGATAATTATATCATTAATATGCTTAATCACAAACTATTAGTAAATTGAAGCTGTCATTATGTATTGCTGAATGTAGGTGTCAAGTGTCTGACTCTGCTGTTAGCTGTATTTCATTACCCTTCCTGCTATTTGGCACCATTTCTAAGTTTGCAGCCATAAGGAATATGTGCAAGAAATGGATTGTGTGATCTTAATTTTACAAGTGCTCTGCTTCTTTTCAGACGGTTTACCTTGTGTAACACAACTCAGTTGTATGTATAAGGGTTGCTTCTTGTACTTGTGTCTCACTCAAATGCATGCTAAGCTCCGCTGCCTGTGCTAATAGCTGATCTCATCTATCATCCCGCTGTGTGCCCCCATTTTGCCTTAAGATCAGCATTTCACATTGCTCTACAACTGCTTTTAAAGTTCTGAAAAGAAAAATCGTTTGTAGAATATTTTGCACCAAAACACATTTTAGGGAATTTTAATTGGTAAATGGCAACAGTCAGTCATGATTTTCAGTACAAGACAGTTTAGTTGATGCTAATGATTTCGAATAAAGCATTTTTACGACCTCCAATTCTAATGCGGATCACGTAAATCTATAAAAGGGAATTTTTTTTCCTAACTATTCGTCTGTCTGTCTGTCTGTCTGTCTGTGTATATTGAGCACACTGATTTTTAATCCTGATATATATGCTTTCTGCGTTTGCAGAAAACAGCCAGGATGGAGGCATTCATCCGGACTTAATATTTGACAGACCATTTGACTATAGCTCCGCTGGTGATATCATGACGGTAGACCGTATTGCCAAATACGAATTCTCAACCTTAGAAAGGGGGGGCTCCCAGGGTTATCCATTGAGGGAGCTTCAGGAAGATAAAATGCACTATTTGCAGGTATATTTCCATTGATTTTGTTTCAAATTGATCTTTTCTTTATTTTTAATTAAAAATGTGCATGTTGCAATGGCCCTCCACCTCAGTATTTGCAAAACCTTTATAGTCACTATATTATACAATAATATAACTTCTTTTACTGGAATCATTTTATATTCCTGTTGTCTTACCTATTAGACTTTTCAAGCGTCAAGATTTGAAATTGTAGACTTGTTTTGTGTGAGAACTGTTTGGAAAATATGATCTAACAAACACTTTTGTTTTCTTCACCCAGTGGTATCTTGGTATTTTTGATTTAGGCCTACTGTTGCAGGGCTCATGTGATTACTGCCACTGATGCCTTTTCAGTTTATACTTTAAAGTTAAAAGCTTGAAGTCATTGCAAATATAAATGAGTAAAAAAACTCAATTCAAATACTAGTCTGAATTTGAAACGGGACTAATCATGTGTCATGTTGTAAAAATCCCATACTATAAATATTATGACCCACTATGACTAGACCCGTCATGATTGAACCACTTCTACAAGGAAATACTACTATTAAGGCTTATAGACTCATATTATAGACTGCCAGTATGTTTTAGAGGTGTGCAATGCTTCACTTCAAACTTTTAACCTTTTTACATTTAAATGATTACTTCACATACTGCCCATAAACCCTCACATGTAAACTCCACATGTAACTTTCATTGGCCTGGATTATCAGTTTCACATATTATAATTTTTTCTCTTTGTATAAATAATTAACCAATTATTAAAAATATACCTGACTGGAATGAAAAATTGGACTTTGGAGGTTAAATGTGGAGAATATGCCATAAATGTGTACGCCAAACACTACCCAAAGCTCTGTTAGACAATGTGCAGTGCTTGACTGCTTTTCATTGCTGATTTTATTGCTATATACATTGCACGAATCAACTTTTGAAGTTCTCTTCAAAGTTTATAAAACATTGTGTGTGTTAGAATTGCTCCAAAGACGTTCAGCAAAAAACACTGATGCTTATTGATAAAGAACTCAAAATCATGTGCAAACGTTAGAACATTATTGGTTCTATTAGACTAGAGAATCAATGTTCTTCTTCAATTTCACCAGTGTTTTGTATCATCATCATCAAGTATCAGAATGTCATAATTTGGGAAGTACAAGCTGCTGTTGTTTTTGCTGTCAAGCAATTTAGGCTTATAACAATAAATGCTTCCAGACAATAATATTTAACACTGTCAAAGAATTGTGAGGTAATTCCATCTTTATCTTTATATAAGACAAAGTGATGTTTTATTAGTGGGCAGTATATTTAAAGCAAAATGACAAGCTTTACAAAATAGACAAATCATTTTAATCAGCGGAGTATCAAGGTTTAAAAATGTAAAATGCCTAAATGTAAAAATGTTGAAGTGTTCATAATAGCTGGTCCTGTATCATAATATAAGACATAATTAAGGCTGTGCATTAGTTGATAATATATTTAAACAGTTAAGATCATTAGCATTGGTTTTTAAATAAATCTACTCGCTGAGCTATTACAAAATCTTTTTTTTTTTAAACGAACAGACTAAATGGCATTGCTTTGATGCTTTGCTTCCCTCTTCTGGCCAGAGTGTAGTAAAGACCTCATAATCCATAGGACTTCTTTGTAATCTGCCGTCTCATTCCTTCATTAACCAATACAGTTGCTTTCATGCTAGGCTTGTGCTGTATGCTTTGGATAGTGTACTAAAAGTTCTTTCGAATACTAAAAACTAATTTTATGTCTTTCCTGTGTAGTTCTCAGAACAATGTGGAATGTGAGTATCTATTTGAAGAATGAGTGATTATAAACAAAAAATAATATTTACTTCATTTTGTACTCAAAACATTTTTAAAGGACGTCCCTATTAAAAGGTAAAAATCTATGAATATTAGTACTTTAAAGTGAAAGCAGGCCTGTGTTGCTATTATATGTAGTTCACAAAATTCCATTGATTATTACTTTATAAGTGTGGCGAGCAGGACGAGGTCGAGGGATGTGAGAGAACGGCGTGAGGCCGGTGGTGTGATTAATGATGAACGACACCTGTGAGATGCACTGGTCTCGTATCTCTCACGGAGGAGCGGAAGCATGTAGGAGGAGCGACGCCTGTGAAGATGGAGAGATGAACAGGCCTGACTTTATGTTGTGTTTTGTTTTATTATATGTGGCAGCAGTCGGACGTGAGGGGCTGCTGTCTTTTACTTCCGTTTTGTATTTGTTTATTTATTATTAAAATTGTTGAATGTTCGCTGGTCCTTCTTCCCGCCTCCTTCTTCCCGGGATTCGGGACCAGTGTAACGAGGTTAGATGTTGTGGGAAGAAGGAGGCTGGAACCGGCGAACGTTCAACAATTTTAATAATAAATAAACAAATACACTGGTGCGTCTCACAGGTGTCGTTCATTACTAATCACGCCACCGGCCTCGCGCCATTCTCTCACGTCCCTCGACCTCGTCCTGCTCGCCACAATAAGATATGCAAGAAGCATTGAGAACATGTTTTGTGTCTTTAGATTGAGCCGGAAGCAGAGATGTGTAGAATTGTGCTTTTAGAAATATACTGCTTCATTCGTCTGTGTGTTACTCCAGGTGCCCCCTACAAGAAGATACTCCCACGACGAAACCGACATGTGGACCACCGGTCAGATCCCGTCTTACCTGCATCGCTGGGGCTCCACAGAGGACATCATTGGCATCCCGCAGTACAGCTTGCCACGCCACGAGAGACGTCGGAGCAGCCCGGCATCCTACCACGAGGAGAGCCACCCTCACCGCAAAAGGAGGCGATCAGAGGACATGCATTCACTCAAGCAGATTCCACGAGTCGAGCGTTATGAGGACGATTTCAAGTGCTTTAGCCGCGATGAAGTGATTAATTTCATCGACGAGACACCACTAGCTAGTCCAATGAGGAGCCCTCACCAAGCCTCTGTGATCTCTCTGGTCCCGCAGACGTTCGAGCAGCACATTGTCTTGTTGCCGCATTTTCCGCTCACGCACTTTGAGCGCGAGCCTCAAGCGTTGAGACGCTGCTCTGGCCATGGCAAAGGAGCCACATTAACTGAGATCCCTCATGATACACCGAGAAAGGCAAAGAACGGTAGCGACGGCAGGGGTGCAGCCGGCGAAGCCTCGAGCATTAAGGGATGCCTTGAGCATAGGCGTGATGCCAAGCATGCATCAGAGCTGGTTCTGTTGGCCCAGGGTGGACGGACAGGGGATCAGTCTTCTTCAAGTATTAGGACAGGACAGGTAGATGCATCTGCTTGGGTGGAACAGAAACACCTTTCTAAAGGTGAAAGCAAAGAAAGCTCAAATAGTTTTATAAGTTCACAATCTGCATCGTCAGGCTATATCACTTTTCACTCCGAATCTATAGGATCCACAAACTAAGGAACAGTTTTATGAGTATCATAAAAAATAGTCCCTGATCTGTTAGTATTAAAGCTTTTACTAAGTGGAATGTTTTTGTAATCTAGGAAGTAGGCTTTTTGAGATGTGATTGATTCAAAATGGCATAGGGACAGCATTGGGTTTTCTTTTTTTAACTGATACAGGGCTGGGTTATGGGCTTGGCCCTGTGGGGCCAGTTCGCCTCCAAGCCAAGGGAAGCTGAACAGTAGATAAGAGTCCTGAGCTCAACACTTGAAGTGTGAGATGATCACAAAGGCTTCTACTCATACAAGTGAGCTTTTTACTGAGGCCCTCTATCTTATATGACAGTTCTCAGCTTTTACGATTCAATGATAATTTAGTGTTCTGGTCAAATTACTGCCTTTCTTGACTAAGAAATAAGGGCCTGTTCCATCACTTTGTATAGGCCTTGATAGGGTAGGCCTGGGAGTTCATGCTTTATTCTAATACTTAAAAAATGTCTTGCATTCATGTCTAAAGATGCATAGATGTATACTAAGTTTAACCATCTAATATTAGCCAAACAAAACATAATTTTCCTTATTTTTTTACCAAACTGCCCTTCTCCTGTTATAATATAGTGGAAGAGGTGCATTCAAAGAGGTGTGCCTAGTAGACCATAATCCAGATAATTCTGTAGCTATATAGAATTGTATTACTTTTGAGGGGATTAATGTTTCAGTAAACAGTTTGCAGATTTCTGATTTCAGATTTTATTTCTTGCATTTTATGAAACCTCAAAGGTCAACTTGGTTGTGGAAAAGGTTGGAAGTTATATAGTGTTTCTTTACAACACTTTAGCTCACAGAGCTTTTAGCTGACTCTTTAACTGTGTTTTTGTTGTTTCTGGTGATGTGGCATGTTTTTAATATTTTAGTTTTTAATATTTAAGTAAAGAAAAAATATATTTTGTTATATCGTTTGAATTCATATTTTTGAAGCACAAGGTTCTCTTTGTAGATCCAGACATGCTTGCCAATAGCATAATGTTTCACAGATATGTTTTAACAAGTTTGTGTTAAGTGCTTTGTGATAAATGAAAATGTATTTCCAATGCATTGTTATTCTCATGATTACAGTCTTATTTGTCTGGTAGCCCGTAACAAAGTATGATATGAAAAGTGACACTATTTAAAAACACCTTTAACCTGCACCAACATGCATCGATATGCACTTTTACAAAACAAGTGACATAATCTTGTCACGTGGAGAAAATGACTTTTTGAAAGAAAGCTGGTGTTATTTGATTTGTTATAGTAGACATAACCACTGAATCAGAATTGGATATTTGTTGTATTATTTTATGTTGTATATGACCACATTTTCTACACTTATCCCAAGATTGCAGCTTTTTAAATTATTTGTTTTTGTTAATTATATAAAAAAAATCAATTGCTTGCTGCCGCATGCACTTTTGTACGTTTCATACAACCATATATTGGTGTTGAAATATCAAATGGTGCTTGATACCTAGGCAGCTAGGGATCCACTAGGACATTCTTAAAACTTTATATGGGAAACTGCAGGTTGCCCCTCAAAGTCCAATATACATTAAAGGCATTAATAAGAGTCTTCTTCCTCCTAAACTCTGGATGGCTGTACAATCCCCCCTCCCCCCAATTAATTATCATTGGCTTTTGACGCCATCATTGGGATGACTTTAAAATCAATGTGTCTAAAGGATTGCTAGTGGAAAATATACATTGACTAAAATCAAGACTTGTTTTATATAACCACTTACATACTATATATTTCACAGTTATCTAGAATGATATGTAGCACTGAAACCTAAACATGCCACAGATTTGAGCCTAAATTAATGGTGAGAATGATCACTATTGTAGTAGCACAGTGGGTATTTTAAATAGTTTTGAATGTGAATGCAAACAGACTTGTTCAGTTTCAAACCAGCTTATATTATACATTAAAAAATATAATATAATGAGACTTTAAAGCTACTTCAAAGTTTACAAGGCTCATGTTGTGACCATGCATTGAGTGTTCAACTCTCTCAATTGAACAGATTTAAACATTTGCATCTCCACCTATGGCAAAGTGTTTTTGATTACGGATGTTTTGTTGTTGAAACAATCTCTCTCTCTCTCTCTCTCTCTCTCTCTCTCTCTCTCTCTCTCTCTCTCTCTCTCTCTCTCTCTCTCTCTCTCTCTCTCTCTCTCTCTCTAATTCAAGTTAATTAAATTAGCTTTACTGACATGACTGTGTAGAATAGCACAATGTTGCCAAAGCATTAAAGGCACAGTATGTAAGTTTGGAGACTTATTCAAAACAATAACAAAGGCGTAGCTTGATGACACAGTGAGTAAGCGTGGAATCATGGGATGTGTCGTCTTGTGTCGTCTGCGTTAGCTCAGTGGCTGGTATGAGACACTTGTTGCACACTGCAATAAGCTAGATTGATATTAAAATATATTAATCAAAGCTGGATGACTTGAGTTGCTAAATGCAATTCATTTCAAAACATTGTATGATGGAGAAAATGCTGTATTACTGTTACTACAAATAAATCTCTTTCTCGTTATCCTATGTTAGCCACTTGACAAAATAGTGTTGTCTGATTTACTTTTTGGGTACTAACATGTTACTCACAGTAAATCAAAGAAAAGGAGAAAACAGTAAGACTAACCGTGTTGAGCTATTTAACAAATGATTAGCTTTTCAGTCAATAAAGGTATCCTAACAGTGGCTCACCTGTCTAATAAAACACTCAGGCTTGGTTTAGATTAAGTTTAGATTAAGCCAGGATTAGGCTTTAGTTCAATTAGGACATTTAAGTAGCTTTTATAAACGTGCCATTTAAAAAACATGGCAGGTGTGCATCTTGAGAAAACAATGACACTGACATTTTTCATGATGTTAAAATCAGTAAAATTAAGTTAAAACCGCTCAAACATCCAAAAATTTTAGTCTGGTACTATGCTTAAGCCTTGTTTGTGCAATTGGGGGATTATATATTAAAGTGTCTTGGATTTTTCCATGGTTTCTACGTAAGTAAAACGTACTCGGTTACCTAACGTAACCTCGGTTCTCTCTAGAGAGGGAACGAGTATTGCGTAAGTTTAGCTTACGCTACGGGTAAAGTTCATCTTTGCTCGAGATATTGAAGCCAAAATTATCCTTAATTTTGTATATATTGTCAACGCAGTGCAGCAGCTGCAGACCTAGAGCAGGCTGTCTAGCGTGCTCATTGGCTGCCTTGCGGCAACTGCAGCAGCCTACCAGTGAGCCTTCGTGCCCACTACGCGTCACAGCCCACGCAAGGGGGTGTGGCTTAGCGTATAAAAGCGGGGCTCAGAGGCTGCTTCCCTGGTTTTCATAATCTGAAGCGAAAATCGCTCGTGGCGCTTAGCACGGCCGGTTACGCAATACTCGTTCCCTCTCTAGAGAGAACCGAGGTTACGTTAGGTAACCGAGTACGTTCTCTTACGAGAGGTTCTCTCGTATTGCGTAAGTTTAGCTTACGCTACGGGAACACTTTGTCAACGCCGTGCGCGCCCAGCATCCACTCTATGAGTCCCAACCCGGGGAACATTGAAAGTGGGAAATTCAGGCGGCCAGCAAGCGGGCCGACACATGTATAAACATAAGCACCCATGGGGAATGCAGAGCGGCGGCGCCGGGCTGCATGTACCTGTATATCAACCCATATTAGTGCAGCTCAACCAGGAGAGCTAACGTTGAGGTAGCCTGCGCACCAGTGATGTGGGCAGATCATACACACATTAGACTGATAGAAGTCTGGCCTGCAAGGCGGGAACTTCCAGATTATAGAATCTCACAAATGTAGACGGGGAGGCCCAGCCCTCCGCCATACAGATGTTGTGAATGGAAATTCCACTGGACCATGCCCACGACGAGGCCATGCCTCTTGTGGAATGAGCCCTGATGCCCAGAGGGCATTGCAGACCTTTTGACGCTTAGGCAGCAGAAATCGCGTCCACTATCCATCTGGATAGGGACTGTTTCGAGGCGGCGAGGCCTTTGGTGCGCCAGCCAAACGAAACGAAGAGCTGCTCGGAGCGTCTGAAGGGGGCGGAGCGCGTAACGTAAGCTCTCAGTGCCCTGACAGGGCAGAGGAGGCTGTCGCTGCTCATGCTGTCGGATGCTGGCAGAGCCGACAGAGAAATGACCTGCGCTCTGAAGGGAGTGCCAATCACCTTCGGGACATAGCTATGTCTCGGTTTGAGGATGACTTTAGAGTCATTCGGGCCAAACTCAAGGCACGCTGCGCTAACAGATAGCGCGTGTAAGTCCCCCACACGTTTAACTGATGACAGAGCCAAAAGAAAAACGGTTTTGAGCGAGAGGTATTTTAGATTAGTTGAATCTAATGGTTCGAAGGGATGCATCTTTAGGGCCTCTAGGACCACGGAGAGATCCCAAATAGGAACCGAAGGTGGGCGCGGAGGGTTCATCCTTCTGGCTCCTCTCAAGAAGCGGATGACCAGCTAGTTCCTTCCTAGTGACCGGCCTTGCTTCGACTCAGCGAAGGCTGCGACAGCCGCCACTTATACTTTGAGCGTGGATGGGGACCTGCCCTTATCCAGCAGCTCTTGAAGGAAACCGAGCACCTGCGAAACCTCACCCGTTCTGGGGTCCAGATTTTTGTCGGTGCACCATTTGGAGAACACAGACCATTTAGACACATATAGCCGTCTCGTAGAGGGGGCTCTAGATTGCGTGATCGTGTTCATAACTCCTTCTGGCAGGATAACGGGTATCCGTTGATCAACCACACGTGCAGAGACCAGCGCTCTGGGTGGGGATGCCAAATTGAGCCGCAGGCTTGAGAGAGGAGGTCCCTCCTCACCGGAATCGGCCACGGGGCTGTGTGTGACAGCCGTGTTAGTTCCGGGAACCAGGTTTGGATCTCCCATCGCGGGGCTATGAGGAGCACCGGGCTGTGCAATTCCCTGATTCTCTTGATTACCTGTGGTAACATAGAGATCGGAGGGAAGGCATATAGCGGGCGGCTGGGCCAGAGTTGGGCCAGCGCATCCTCGTTCTTTGAAAAGAGCACTGGGCAATGAGCGTTGTCCTTTGACGCGAATAGGTCGACTTCCGCTCTGCCAAAGAGGCGCCATAACAGCTGGACTGTTTGGGGGTGTAAAGACCACTCCCCGGGGGGAATATTGTCCCTGG